ATATATATATATATATATTCAAGTTATTAAATCGAACATATTTATATAAGTTTATTACTTTTAGAATTATTAGATATACCAAGGACATACCGACGTTTCCGCATTTTTAATCGATCCTACCAACGTGACAGCGTTTATCGACTCTCGATAAGCGTTCTATCAACTCAATCGACCAAATTAGAATACGCACGATGAAAAACGTTTCTTCTCGTACGAAGTTGTTTTTCCACAGTAACGATCGTAAAATCTGACGTTCTAACGAAAGTTAAATTCGAATTGATTTGAAACGTTTTATAGCATCGATAAGCTTAAGAATTGTATTATCGCTTTTATCGGCAATTTACAGAGAGCTATCTTACCGATTGGGCAATTGTTTCCAAAAAAATTGTCTCTTAAGGATCGATCACAAATTCGAATTAATTATCGTCGATTATCGAGAATCCGATGTTATTTTAATTAATTAATTCGATAGGATTTTGCGTTTTAACGTATAAATATATCGTAGAATAATAGTCAGTCCGCGTGACCGCAATAATGGCCTTGCTCGAAATATTAAAGCATTACGTCATTTGCATAAATATATATATATATATATATTACGTTTATACATATAAATATACATATACGTAAACCGGACACCGTGAAATCGTTATCTTTTAATAAAATGACGATGTTTTTCTTTGATATCTTTTACTTTTAACCAATGACTAACTTAACGGCAAAACTTCTTGGAATCAATTTGATGTCGGTTCGGGGAGTATGTCTATCCATTATTCGCATAATCGAATAAAACCAGCCGTGTCGAGTTTGACGTCAATGGTTCGACAAAGCCGCGAGTACAATAATAAACTTTCTATCGACCTTTATCAATAGAACGAAAACTTTTATCTTTGTTGTATTAACAAGGACAATACAATTAACAATCTAATGATTTTTAAATTAATCGTATAATTCACGTGGTTATAAGGACATATATATATATATAAAATTGAATACCGTCGAGAAAGATATCAAAAAATGATCTAAACTCTCTTATGATCACGTTTGGAGGCATGAAAGTAGGAAAATGGAGGATCGTCACCGGAGGGTACCATCGAAGAAAGTTGATGACGTTGGCGTCAGTTCCGATGGTTTGGTCCCGATGATGGATTTTGGTTGAGTTTTCAGGATTGGCCCCGCGGCTAGTTAACAAGCAAGCAACTAGGCTCTACAGGCTACAGGTATGAACATGTTATGAACAACGACAAAATCAATATACCTATATATGTATATACAGAGAAAAAGGGGTAGATGCTTTTGAATGTGGTCTATCGCTATGACGTAATTCACAATATTCTACTCGCGTGATAAAGTCATCGGAAACGCTCGAGTTCTTTCTCTTTCTCTCTCTCTCTCTCTCTTTCTCTTTCTATTTTTCTCGATTTATCTATCTCTATCTCACTATTTTTTTCTCTCATGGTCATAACACAAGGTAACCCTGCTTGCCAACACTTCTCTCTCTCTTTCTCTCTTTCTATCTCCTTCTCTCTTTATCTCTCTCTCTCTTTCTCTCTCTCTCTCTCTCTTTCTCGGTAGCTGAGCAATACCCTCACTCTTCCATCTAATTCTCTTTCTCTCTCTAATACTTCTCTTCTTCTCCCTTTAACGTGATCTCACACTCAAGAGAAGGAGAGAGAGAGAGAGAAGAGGAGGAGGAAGGAAGGGAGGGAGGGAGGGAGGGAGGGAGAGTATGTGTATTCGAGATGCCGCGGTCGACTTCCACTCGGTCGAGCGTGATCGAGATCGATCCACGGAGCACAAAAGAGCGTCAGCCGAGACTCGAGCCAGTCCGATAGCAAAAAGGTTAATTATAAAGAGCGAAGCACTAAAATCCGATATCGTGCGCGCTCGGGGGCCACTTGCCATCGTAAGCGAAGCTGTTGTCGATCCCCCACCCCCCTTCTCCCACTCACTCTTTCTCTCTCACTCTCTATCCTCGAGAATTGCCATGGTCGCACGTCCGATAATGGGGTGGTTCATGATACTACTGTACGCCGAGGGTGTATCGCTTTTTCTTTCCCCCTAGGTTAATTTGATTACACTCATCGAAACGCATTTATTCGCACAAGCTTTACAAGAGGCTTATCACAGCTTACTCTGATAAAATGCTAAACAAATCGAATATTTTGTCAATTATTATTCCAATAGATTCGTTTAAAAGATCCTTCGCAGGTAAATTGGATAGAATGAAAAAAGAAAAAGGGAAATAGAAGTAGAAGTAGAAGAAGAAGAAGAAAAAGATAAAAAAAAAAAAAAGACAGTTATCGCATGTTTATCGTTCGTGACGATCATCGTCGAAAATAGAATGATCCATGAATCATCGAGAACGATAAGAGAGTTAGGTGGTGTACGTTAATGATAGCGAACGTTCTTGGACACAATCCAGTCGCAATTGGAAGTTTTCTATTTTAGTTTAAAAAGGAAATGTACCGATAACTTAATTTCCTTCGTTCTTCCATCGACAAGATCGGATCGGATTGGATCGGATCGGATTGAATAAAATTCGATACCATCCCCGCGATCTCATCTTCACTTACTATATTTGCAAATTCGCCTACTCCCTTGATATAGATACATCTCGTCATAATAATAGGTTGTATCCCGTGGGATAAATTCTCCGATGCATACTGCTTTATCGCATAGATATAGAGAGAAAAAGATAGAGGCATACACAAAGAGCGAGAGAGAGAGAGAGAGAGAGAGAGAGAGTAGGTAGTTGCTATTACCTCGATCGTTACGGGCCACGTACTCGTTATATCTGACAAGTGTCTGTTTTTCCTGTAAACGGTATTCGATAGACCGAAAATATCTATGTTATGCTTCTGTTCGAAATGCTACAAAATACGATTTGAAAGTTTTGTCGAAACGAAGATAAACGTTCGTATAGGATTACAAAAAGAGAGGGGGAAAAAAAAGAAAAATCATATAAATGATTAAATATATATATATATATATATATATATTACATCACTTTTAAATATATATACATGTGCGTGTGTATGAATTTTATATATATATATATATTTATGCAAATATATATATATATTACGTCACTTTCAAATATATATACGTGTGCGTGTGTGTATTTTATATAAATATATATATATATATATATAAATATATATACATATATATATATAAATATATATACATATATACATATAAATATATATATATATATATATATATATATATATATATATATAACAATACTTTCCACGTTAATAATCTCTCCATCTCTCTTTTCTTTAGAACATCGGAATAAATTGCACCGACTTCAAGTTTCCTTTTAATAAAGAGTCACATCGTTCCCCTTTTTATCAACATAGGCAAGGTGCAATAAATAACGTCGGTATAAACAATAAAGGCAATGTCCGTGGGAGGAGTAAAAGGCAGACGAACCTGACATACTAGGCAGCCTGATGACGTTCGTGCGTATACACTTTACGCAAAAGTGCACATAAATACACTCTCACACACATACATGCACACGCGTACGCACAGAGAGAGAGAGAGAGAGAGAGAAAGAAAGAAAGAGAGAGGGAGAGGTAATGTGACAGAACGTACATGAACGTACGTAGACACGTGTTTGGTTATCCACGAGTTTATTCTTTCCTTCTTTGTCATTCGTTTGTGAATACAAAAAGAAAGAACAGCGATATGATCGAGCAGTTCGTTATAAAAGGACTGTTCTTACTCTTTATCTTTCCTTTTTTTTTCCCCCTCTTCTTTTCTTTTTTCTTTTTTTTTTTTTTTTTTTTTTCTTTTTTTTCTTGTACCGATAGGGTTGCCACACGTTTGTGACACGACTCTCGTTGTATCTCGAATCCGCGCTCGTGTTTTAAACTAATTAACGCGCGTCGGTTCTAACGGCGATTCGTTAAGCCAATTATCAGAGACGCGACTACTCGACGTTTTCACTCGGTCGATCGGCTTACGACTTATTTACATACATACATACATACATACATACATACATACATACATACATACATACATACATACATACATACATACACACATACATACATACATACATACATACATACAAACATACATGCATACATATATACATACATATATACACACGCACGTACGTTTATCCTTACAGACTTTCCGTTTCATGGACTTGAGAAGATTTGTTTCTTACGTATTACGTATCGTAGACCAAATCTTATGATACTTTCTTTTCTTTTTTTTTTTTTTTTTATCGAATATGCGTATAAAAATTACAATATTTCTTTTATGTACGTACCTATATTTATAGTTTGATCTTACGATTTAAACTTATGTTTTTATCTCATTAATTGTCTCGATAAATATAAAAATTGAAATAAGGAAAAGTAGAACATCAGTTCGTATCAGATCGAGCTAGCGAGCAAATTATTTTTTATTCTTTCTTTTATATATAAAATAAGAGACGAAATAATTGTGTTATGATCATGCGATGAATGAAGGGATACAACGAAGTGCATTAAAATTCTAAGATGATAATAATTAATTGACATAATTAACGAACCTGGTGGTCCATGGTAAGACCTTGCTACCCTCGAAGCTGATGCTCCTTAGCTCATACTTGGATCTCAAACGAAGAGGTGAACCAGGTGCGGTACCACTGTGAAGAAGATTCCTTACGCTCTTGGTACTAACCCCCGATAGAGCGTGCCGTCTCGAAGTAGCACCCTCTCTGGTCGACTGATTCGTCGTTCTTCGCAAAGAACTCATCTTGTATATCCTTTGCTTTTCACGACATATTATTAATAACAGCATAAAAAAAAGAATCCCCTCGTAACTCTTCAATATCAATCTCCTATCTTTATATTATATTATTTTATTATTATTTTATTCTCTTTCATTATTTTATCGAAATCCTATGTCCTTGTTCTCGTAGATCTTCGACACTTTCTCATCGTATCTCTATTCCTCTTCAAGATAAAAAAAAAAAAAAGAGAACATCTTTCTATGCATTTGTCATCGAATAATTAATATTAATATTAATTTCACAATATATTTATTTCCTTCATTTTCTTTTAACGTTCGAAGATACTTTTTCTTCGTTTCAAATCCTATTTAAATCCAAAGATGTTCATCGACAGCACAATGTCGGCGTACTTTCGTTACTCCTTCCGATATCCGATCGCAGGTGTGCGAGCTTACACGGTGCGACCATAAATGACTGCGCCACCTTTCGACCCCACCAACACCATTCGGCTTCGTTCGCCACCATAACTGGCTCCGAGCATCCTTCCTTCCGATCCCCACTCTTCCCTTTTCCCACCACTCTCATCATCCCTTTTGTACTCTATTTGTCTATTTCTCTCTCTCTCTCTCTCTCTCTCTCTCTCTCTCTCTCTATTTTTATCTCTTCACAGGTTACATCGAGTCATTTTTTTTTCTAACACGTGTAACCTTCTAGATCCTTCGATCACATTGTTGAATATCCTATCACGTTTGTTTTTACACACCAATATCATTTTCTCATAAATTTTTAAACGATCGGATGATCGAAAATAAGAATTTGAGAAAATTCGTATCACATGTGCCTTCTTTATCCATTTATCCATCCATCGATCCATCTTTCCTCTCTTCTATCCATCTCGATTATTGAGCCAAGGAAACGCACGCACACGCTCCACTCGCTTCGTCGCTCGATTAAACAAAAATCTTTTTATGGAGCTCAAACGCGAATGGAATTTTTCTCGGACGTCCTCCTCGAGTACATCGTGATTCGAAATTTGCCAAACGTTAACGAATCGTCCTTGAAATTATTCCCGATTCGTGCTAATATTCGTCTGGAACGTTTTAGGGTTCAGAGGGAGAAAAACCAAAAAAAAGAAAAAAGAAAAGAAGAAGAAGAAAAAGAAGATCGAGACATTTTTACTCGTTACAATTGGAATTTTTCGAAAATGATGGAAAATTTTATGAATCATAAAATGTGATCTTTGCTAATCAATATCATGATTTTCGTAAAACTTTCATTATCAGCTTATATTTACGATATATCGTAGTTCCATCATTTTGAATTTTAATAAAAAAAAAGAAAAAAAAAAGAAAAAAAGAAAAAAATCGTATAAAGAATAAATGAGAGAAAGAGAAAGAGATAAAGCTCTTCTCATACGATATCACGTTTTTAATAGTACGTATACGAACGTGACTCCGTTTACTTTAATTTTCAACGTGAGACACGAGATCGAACACGTATCCGATTTCGGAAAATTCTTAAGGAATTTTGCGCTCGCTCCTGAAAACTCGGTCACGCGCTTCTTCTAATTCCTTTCCAATTCCTTACGTCGATCCTTAGTCGTTAAGGGATAACCTTCGGGAGTTTTCCCATTGAAGAATTTCGTTCGATAGATGTCTCGATAAGTTTGCTGGTTTAACGTCCATGTGATGCTGCGAAGGAGAAGAATAAGAGAAAAAGAAGAAAGTAATGGCATTTAATCGAACAATAGTACAGACATTATGAATTTTATTACATAAGCGAAAGGATGAAGGAGAATATTATGAAAATGTAAAAGAAAAAAAGAAGGAAGAAAAAATTTAGTGAAATGAAATAACACATAAAATCGATTCAATTAATGATAAGAAAATTAAAGAAGAAAAACTATAGAGAAAAAAAGAAAAGAAAAGAAAAAAAAACTAAAAAAAAAAAAAGAAAAAGAACTATTTGTAGATCGATATGTTTTAATACAATATATTTTACACACACACACACACACACACACACACAGACAGACAGACAGACAAAAGCTCACGTAACTATCAATGACTTATCTCTTTTTCTTTTTCTTTTACTTTTTTTCTTTCTTTTTTCTTTTCTTTTTTTTTTCTTTTTTTTTTTTTTTCTTTTTTAATTTATTCATTTCCAATTTACGATCAATCCCAATAATTATCGTCCTATAATTATGCTTGCACATAAAACCAAATTTTTTTTTTTCCTCAAATATATGTACCTTCAACACTGCCGATCGATGTTCGATCATAAGCCCGATCACGAGGATCACTCGCGAGAGAATCTGTATCTCTGCCGATGTCACGGTCGAACTCAGGATGTTCGTTGAAGACTGGCCGATTCACGGCCAAGATAATTCCTCGAAGGGTAAAAGCGCTGTTGGAAAAACGCATGCGTCGATCCGACGTCAAGCGTCGTACTCGAACGAAACATTCTTTAGCGATAGAAGCGACTTATTTTTCGAAAAAAACAAGGACATACATTTCATCGGGCTATCGTGTCCTTCCTGTATACCACCCTCTCTCTCTCTCTCTCTCCCTCTCTCTCTCTCTCTCTGAGGGAAGATCGATGTGAAGTTTAGGTGAACCAATTAGAATGGAGTCTTAAGGAACGATGTTAAACTCACTTTTTCTTTAATGTTTTCCTTCGGAATAGCGTTCCTTCTTAATTAAATTAACTCTTTGAGCGTTAACGGACACGAAATCTCTTCCTTTTTCTTCTTGCTTTTTTATTCTCTTTCTCTCTGCCTGCCTCTCTCTCTCTCTCTCTCTCTCTCTCTCTCTCTCTCTCTTTCTCTTGGGAGTAGAACACAACGAGGGAACGATTCTTCCGGCTTCTTAATATTCATGCCATGAAACCTGCAACGCGTCGTTGAAAACAACAAACTCATAATTGATATAGAATGTCTGATGATACAATGAACATTTTCTATTCAATGAACAGCCTTTTGAATAAATTGGTATTATTGAACGCTAAGTATTATATTCTACGAATTCAATTTATGATGTCCATTATTTAAAACGAACGTATATATATATATATATATATTTACATATATTATATATTATAGTATATATATAATAAATATATATTTATATATTTATTATATATAACGTGTATATATATATATATATATATATGTACGTGTATATGTAGGGCATGTATGTGTATATATTCTATATACACACACATACACACGCATGTCCTATTTACGGATAACTATCTATCAAATTAAATCGAGTTTGATCCTTCGAAATTGATTATTTTGTTTCGATATTCGACGGTAAAGCCTTGATACGGATGAATCCTGTGGAGATAATGAGCGAGTAATAAAGACGTAGGATAGTAAAAGCATCGTTAAAGTTTATTCGGCAATAAAAATGTCGATACATCGAGCGAGTAGTTTTCTTAAAAGGAGAAGATCCATGCGAACGACGACGAACGGAAAACAACGAAAGTGATCTCGCCTCGCTCTTAATTAATTTAAGTAAATACATTGACATTGACACGATAGTATCCAGAAATTCTTATTGTTATTTAAAAAATATATAATCGTCTATTAATTATTGCTTGAAAAGGGACGACGAGACGCATATTTTTATACTCTCTTTCTCTCTTTTTCTTCTACCTTTTTTCTTTCTTTCTTTCTATACTTTCTATTCACTCACTCACTCACGATCAATCGATCGATCGATTCCCATCGATCGATTCGTTCCTCATTTCGATATTTACATCGCGGTAGCACCTGTTTCACTCCACCAAAATTTTCGGCAAGAGAGCAGCTTCTTATTCGCAAAAATTTTCCTTAAAAGAACGATTTCGATAAAGAACAAGGAATAATCATGAAATTTGGCCCATCAATAACTTTATCGACGACAAAGCTTTTTATATATCTTTTCTCTCTCTTTCTCTAACTTTCTTTCTCTCTCTCTTTTTTATCTCTTTAAAGATTTCTCTGGGTGAAAAGAAAAGTCGCCAACCTTTTGCATTATCAATTGTAATGGTCTCTTGTTAAGGGCCACATAAGGGGTTAAAGTTAATCTCCATTTAAATAGAGCAATTATTATCTTATGTGAGTCGAAATAAAACGTTTGCGTAAAATGTAAATTAAAAGATACGTACTTACGTATAATGAAATACTTTTATATCTTCAATGAAGCCTAACTACGGGCAAATATCGTATATCGTCGTAAAAACGATCTACGAAATGAGCTGATTAATTTTTCAAAAGGTGGAGGTCAGGGGAATGAGAGGAATAGTTAAGTTAGGGTTTATTAGAAAAAAAAAATAAAAAACAAAAAAAAAGTAAAAGGGAGGGGAGGGTGGGGTAGAAAAAACCTAGCTATCGTTACGAAGCGTATGACCCAGCACCGTATGTTTCATTACCTACTTAAGTAGATTATTATCGCAGCCATATCGTTGGTGTCAGACCGGTATGCGTTCAAGGATTTTCTATGTCATAAGTGGACAACTTCTTTGCCGCGGGCCTCACAGGCTGTACCATCAATTCGTTAACTCATTACTTAAGTTCACTAGTCATTATGTCATGTTAAAAAAAAGAAAATATATATATTTATATATATGTATAAAAGAAAAAGATAAACAAAAGCCAGCACACATAGCACGGCGATATCAAATTATCTAGAATTAAGAGGCAATAGCTTTGTGAGGCCCACAATTGCGATCTCTATTTTCTCACTTATGTTCTACGTTATAAAATCCTACTTCCTGTCTCTCTCTCTCTCTCATTTTCATTCTCTCTCTCTCTCTCTCTCTCTCTCTCTTCCTCTCTGTTTAAAAATGTTCTAATGTTACTGAAGTTGTCGCTGTACAAGGAAAGTTTTACAGTAGCATATATTTACAGTTTATAATGAAATATTTTGAAATTTGTTAAGTGTTTTTTTTTTTTATCCTCCTTCATAAAGAGAGAGAGAAAGGGGGGGGAGAGAGAAAAGATCTTTTGCAGCATCCACTTTGTGCTCCTGACGCAATCTCTTCGAGACCTCTCTTGTTTGATAGAACGCTTAAAAGAATTTTGTGGTAGAAGGAGAAAAGTTTGACTGGCATTGGGATAATGCAACGGTGTGTTTCAAAGTGTCTGCGAAACTGTCCTGGAGTATTCTCTGCCGCGGGGATAGACTTACACCAACAAGAATAAGTATATATATATATATATAAACATATATGTGTATATATATATATATATAATATATAAAGGGAGAGAATATTTCGATAAGATTCATACGGAACACGTAATGCGTTTCATGATTTTAAAAACCATCCTCCATGAAAGCACGAAGAAGGATATCCATTGTTTCCAAATATGAATATCCATAAATGAAAAGAAACAGTGTTTATAATAATAATTATAAATATCCGTAGGATATGACGAAACTAAGATTTTATGTATTACCGTAGATGTGCAAATTTCGCGTATCAGATCCGTCGATTATTATCGAGGAATTTAAAGAAGACGAATTGTTCCGTTCGTTTAATCGTAAAAAGTGAATTTCTTTGATAATTAGTATCGATTTCGTTAGTATCGATTTTACTTTGTTAATTTTCAACGTTAGGCGCTCTATTTCTCTCTCTTTCTTTCTCTTTCTCTCTCTCTCTTCCTATCTGTAAGATAAAAAAAAAGGCCGTATGAATATTATCATCGTTTGATTTTTCATTGTATCACAAAGAAATGAATTCGATGACATTTTGCCGTACTCTGCAGTCCCACTCGTTAGTTACGGTCGACATGGTATACAATGGTTGCCATGTAAAATCCTATACTATCTATTTACCTATATAACAGTCGACCCTTATGCGAAGAGAGAAGTTTCGAGTGGTGAGTGAAGAGAACGACAGTCGTTTCCAACGTCATCGCGGTTCACGGCATTAACAGAGATGAGACTGTAAATTAGAAATTCGAAATTAGAAGGAGATTCCTTTGGAAGCTCCACGAGGAGGCAAAAGGGCGATCCTCGAGTGCGAGGCAACGAAGGGGCAGTGAGAGAAATCGCAAGTGGATGGCTGATAATTCGAGTATATCCATTCCCCTCGCAAGTCTAGCTAACTCTCTCTCTCTCTCTCTCTCTCTCTCTCTCTCTGGCTTTATAACCATTCAAAGTTACATGACATTTAGGTAGGAATATCGGTGACAAGAGAAAGAGATAAGTGAATTAATATAGAAAAAGAGAAAGGATCCTGAAAAAGAATGGAAAAGACGGAGTAAACGAGGAAGAAGTGCAAAAAAAAAAAAAAAAAATCGAAAAAAAGGAGATTGGAAAAGTAAATGCAAAGAAACGGCACAGTCGAAAGACGGCTGATATTGTGATCGTCGTGATATCTCGTTGACGATCATAGAGAGACCGGTTCGTCAAGCTTATATATTCTGAGCGAGTACATGACCGAGTCACGGAACAATCAAAACGAACAATCGAGATTTCAATTCTCGAAGAATGAAATATCCTCAAACTCATATCTGCATCTCGGGCTCGGAGTCGTCGTGAAACCAATTTGAAGCTCTCTGACTCTCGGTCATACGAACGCTGCTTATTTCCCTTTCGATGAATCGACTTGATGATCTTGCTGCATTAGAGCCATGTATGCCATTTCTTCTACGTTCATCGAACGATGCGAGAACATCGATTCGATCGCCTCTTCTAATAACTCTTGGAGTTGTCTCTACGGAACTCGCACCTTCCTCTCCTTCGGTAGCCCAAGGTGGAAGATCTAAGATGGCGGATGGCATACCCCAATGTTCAGTGAATTCCGAGCCGGATCTAGCCAAACTCGGTTGACTGAGTGATCTGACCAATGAATCTGCACCTTCAAAGGAGCTCAAACTCGTCAGATCGTCCCTGTCCACTCTAGCGAAGTCCCTCACCGTCATCTCGGACATTGACCTCAAATCGGCTTCGCTACCACCACCACCACCACCGACGCCTCTGTGACTGGAACTACCCAATCGACGAAGACGTCCTACGTTCGAGCCGGTTACCATTGTAGCCGCTGATTGCGATGTCTGTAAACGATGGCTCTGATTGTCCAAACTACGATGCGAGCTACCACCATCGCTCTCGTATTCGTATAAAGTCGGCAAAGAGGATCTTCGAGATCTGGTGTCCCACTCGGAAGATTTAGATCTCTTGTATCTTTGACCGTGATTCTTGCCGTGCATGCCAGAGGATGAGGTAGAACCAGCCTGTGCCAAAGGCGGTCCAAGAATGCGAATGATCACATCCCACTTTGCCGGTGGGAAGAGATTCGTATACCTCGCATCCTTTCGTATCAGTTCGTAATCTTCTCTAACTACTGCTTCTGTTAGAAGGGTTCTCAGAGTACTCTCAGTCGTGATAATCTCGCGCCATTTAGCTCGCTCTTCTTCCGTCAATTCCGACGCATACCGTGGCTCAAGGACCTTCGAGAGTCTGGCGAACCAGTCTATCGGTCCGTCCGGCTCGCTGTCAAGTGGTCGACGATGAGCCGAATGTGATGGCCTGCAGGGTATCTCTGCTCGAGCCGTATAGGTTGGTTCTATACTGACGTCCGGTTCTTCATCGTTAGCAATGTCGTTCGGATGAACCGTGGGTTCGTTCGTGATCGTTAAATTCGACGTGGAACTAACGTCGGAGAAGCTTTCCCATTCTGGTGGGGGCGGTGGGAGGTCTTCCGTTGGATAGTTTCTGATTGTAACGTCCCATTTAGGATCGACTTGTTGCTGCGGTCGAGCACGGTACTCAGTGACTTGTCGACGATGACGTTCTACGTCTTCGATCGTTTTCTTCTCGGTAACGGTACGTAAGTAAACATCGTCTACTTCGTGAGTCGTTATTTCTGGACGTCTTGGTGTTACCACTTGGGGTTCTACAAGAGGTTCCGTCATCTCCTCACGATGGAGACGTTGTTCACGATGTTGAATCGCTGTGTGAGTCGTCGTTGTTGTGGGTACAATCGGTGGAGGTGGTGGTGGTGTAGGTGCAAGAATACTTGCTACTCTATACTTTGCGTGAGACTGATCCATTACTTCGGTTAAAGAACGAGTTTCCGTTAACTCGGTGTTAAGAGAAGTCAGAGATCGTGGACGACGAATCTCGTGATGTAGAATAGGCAATTGTTCGGCAGGTGGTGGCGATGGAATTCTTTCTTGCATCAACGTTGTGCTGGTAGTCGTCTCTCTTTCCGCTTGCTTTCTTAAGATTCTAGAATAAACCGGAGGTGTTTGTTGTCGAGACACGGTAGACGTCGACGAGGTAGCTCCTGGTGGCCCGTGCAGTTCCGGTACGTAAGAGAAAGTGGTCATTCTTGGTGGTGGACTCTCCAACGTTCGACTCATGATAGATTCTTCTCTTTCCAAGATAGTCGTTAGATTTCTCTCAAGAGCAATACTGGCCACATCGGATTCTGATGGTAAAGGACTAGGTGGAGGTGGTGGTGCTCTTTTTACTCGCATTTGAACGTCGAATTTCGGCTCAATCGGGACAGCTATCGGATGACGAGGAACGGCAACGCGCGATGCGTTAGCAGCCATCATCGACGATGCTCCTACTTCGGCAGCTACTGTTTCGGAATACAACGAACTGGCCGTACGTACTTCCACTTGTCGTTGAGTCTCGTGATGATGCACGAATGCTTTGTTGTCGTAGGAACCAGCCGAGGAAACTGGAAGCGAACGTTCCTCGTCCACCTGATGAACATAATAAAGCTACGTAAAAAATGTTGACCTGTTCTATAAAATTAATCAAGGATCAGATTAATAATAAATTCATGAAATTTACCTCGGAATGACTTTCACTCGGATAATCGCTTGGTAACGTATCGGAATGGTCGATGACCAAATTTGCTTCGCTGCCAGATGTGAAGGCAGCGGTCGTGTGAAGAAGAGCGTGCGCGCGTGGGATTTTAAGGCCCTCAAACATGGTTATGTTGCTTAGAGAAGAACCAGATAATTTTGTTATCTCGGAACCTGTACCACTACCAAATGGATGACGATGAACCACTCGTACATTCCTACGTTTTAGGCACATGTACGAGCATCCAAGGCCAAGCAGTAGCAATGATAAGAATAAAATAGCGCAGATGATTAAAAGGATTTGAAAACCTTTCAATGGTGGTTCTGCCACGGCTGCTGGCGCTATGGTACCCATTCTGCTAAGTAATTGTTAAGAATTTAGATGAGCGATACGAAAGACCGTAATTGTTATATGAATGAAATCTACTCACATGCTAGCAGGTGGAGCCGGTGGTGCCGGTGCTATCGGTGGAGGATATCTACAAATTATAGTGATAACTTCATCACCATCCATCTCGAGGCCAGGATGAAAGCGTACGACTATATTGTTGGTGAATACACGTTGCGGATCTTGTCTGGTACCACATCCTGAGAAATAAACATATCTTTGTTCGATCGTACATTCCCCAAGAGACTGGTACGATCAAAGGTATTTACCTTTCAGTGGTAATTCCAATTTAGCATTTGTCAGTCCGCGACCTTTCACCATGCAAGCACTGTTTCGATCGAAATCCGCATAAGCGACGCCGTAAAAAGGTTCCTCGAACTTTAACTCAACATCCATACTACCCTGACCGCAATTCAAATATGCCTTTGTTCGATTGAGAAATATTATAGGAGATATATCGTCCAACTTGGTAACCTTGCCATCGAGAACAGTGCTCGGTGGTAGTCCAGGCTGATACTCGATGCTATTGCCCTGTGACGCATAATTACTCTGTGCCAGGACAATCGATGGCACTGCCAGCCAGAACAGCAGAGCTGTATACCTCGACAGCATCTGCGTGGATAGAAATAATAATAATAATAATAATAATAATAATAATAATAATAATAATAATAATAATAATAATAATAATAATAACAATAATAATAATAATGGTGTTGCTTCATCGTTTTTTTTTTATTCATTTTCCTCGGCAATAACGAATGAACGAACGAACGAAAGAACAAACGAACGAACGAACGAATGAACGAACGTACGAACGTTCGAAAGCGAAAACGATGAGATCATCCAAGCAATCGCAACGGTGGAATTATTGCGTTCCCTAGAAATTGCAGGAATGTTTAGGTAGGTAGAGAAGTGCACGGTGCAGCTTCCTGTCTCCCACCACGTGTTTCTTTTTTCTTCTTTTTTCTTCTTTTCTTTTTTTTCTTTTTTTTTTTTTTTTTTTTTTTTATATAATACGGCGATGCAGCCACGCGATCCTCGACGGAAGAATAAAGTCAGTCTCTCTCTCTCTCTCACTCATTCTTTCTTTCATTCTTTCTTTCTTTCTCTCCCTCTTTCTTTCTCTCTATTTCATGCACGGTTCCATGCGCTCGGCTAGTTGCACCGTTAGACGCCGGTTAATATACTCTTGTAGTGTAGATCGAAGGGAGAACTCTAAACAGACTCCAAAATACTTCGAGTTTACTCGACCGATCAGTTCTAACTGAGAAAACGTAAACGCATATAAAACCAGAACTTTTTTTATCAGACAAGGAGTAACTAAAACACACGATGATCTTGATGTCCTCCAGTACGTAGGAGTAACGATACTTTACCGTGACTGTTAGAGCTGTCCTTCCCAGGCTAACTCCTATACGTTTTCCTCGTCTCCTTTTCTCGGTCTCACCACGCTAAGGCAGCCACATGGCGCAGTGACCTGAACAGAAAAGGCAAGAGAAGCTGACGGTTAAAAGGTTCTATAGAAATCTTTTCTATGGTAGCACGAAGACATAGCCATTCCTAGACGTAGGTCATTGTTATATCGATCAATATTTTTGTCCTTGTGAAAAAAGAAACGCTGCCGTAATATTTCTCATCGTATCTCATTAATTATACCCCGATCATTCACGGATCGATCCCTTTCACGAGAGAGGGAGCTATCAAAGGTAGATAAAACGTTGACGTGCACGAGCCAAAGAATTTATCTGAAATTCTGTCGATAAATGATTTTATGATTGAAAACAATTCCTGATGTGACATCGACCTTCCTCATTTCCTGTCCACATACAAATATATATGACATACGTTTACACACTTATAAAGAATCTTCTTAAGACCTCGACCGACTCCTCTGTCTCGCTTGGCCTACGTCATTCTCTCTCTCTCTCTCTCTCTCTCTCTCTCTTTCTCTATCTATCTATCTATTTATTTTATCTGTCTGTCTATCTCTATCTCTTTTTGTCGGTACACCGAAGCGCATCATGATCACGTTGCATTCCTTTCGTACTGCGAAAGCATGGATCGTGATTGTCCTACAGATCACGCCTCCACGAATATATTGTCAAAGCCATCACCGTTGAACACGTGTATACTCCTCCTAAGTGTTGTCTACGTGCAAGTACTTCTCGATTTAATGGCTTAAGCGATCTCTGAGATCTCTTTCTCTCTCTCTCTCTCTCTCTCTCTCTCTCTCTCTCTCTTTCTTTCTTTCTTTCTTCATACGCGAAAGCAACTAAGATGGCATCGAGATATGTAAGAAAGATCGCAAAGCGTACACGCTAGGGACGTCGATGCACCAACAACGACCCACTCCTTCGAATAGTCCTCCTCGTTCATTGCTCTCTCTCTCTCTCTTTTTCTCTTTCTCTCTTTTTCTCTCTCTCTATCTTTCTCTTTCTCTCAGAAACAACAACGGCACGATATGGATGACGAGCCACCGAGCCAGGAAACGACGAGAAATCGTTCCTCTGTTTGAAAAAGGAAACGTTAGGCGAACGTTAAATTACGGGAACAAACGTAGAGTACGTTCTTTTTCTTTCTCTCTTATTCGTTAAAAAAGGAAATCATCAAATATATGTAAATAATCACGTACCTATCTTTGAGGAATTTTAAAAGATGAAAAAAGCGATGCATAAAGAAAGAAATAAAAAAAGTAAGAAAGAAAGAATGATAAAGGGAGAAAGAGAGAGAGAGAGAGAGAGAGAGAGAGAGAGAGAGAGAAAAAGGGTGAGAGACACCTCTCGAATTTTCAGAATCGATCATGTGTTCCAAGCACGTCTCACTTTGTTTCATACGTTGGAATCTTTTCTCGCAACGAGAAGAAAATAAATTTCTTAAACTATTCCCGGACACATATGCGTGACGGGGAATGACTTATCGTCTTCTTCCAACTATTATAAAACGTTTTTCTTTTTTTTTTTTCTTTTTCTTTTTCTTTTTCTGTATTTTTCTTTTTCCAAAGGAATCGAAACTATGCCTCATCACGAACCCATTGAGTTACGTATGTCAACCGACAGATTTATTACATTCGATGGATTTATTGGATGCTCTATTGGTTGGCTTTAAATTATTCTGTTTCTTTTTTTTTTTTTTTTATTTCTTAGCGAAACAACGACGACCCTCTTTTTTTTCTTCTTCTTTTTTTTTTTTCTTTAATAGAATTATTCGGAACGATTTGTGTCCTACGATAAATCTCTTATATTTTAGAATTAGCCTAAAAAAAAAAAAAAAGAAAAAGAAAAAAAAATAGGAATGGAATTTGTGTATCGGACTATAGGATACACATAGGCGCATCAAATCCTTTTTTAATAGTAATTATATGATACAGGTACATCTAATTACGTAACTTAAATGCAGTCGCATATTTACGATGTTTAATTGTACCCTACTATGGTACGCGTGACTACCGATCAGTATTTGAACGTACAAGGAACAGCAATCGTGACCTCCTTATGGTCCTTACGCAATATCTACATATATATATATATATATATATATATATATATATATACATAGGTATGTAACATATATTTGCGTATCTACATATCGATCAAATATAGAGATGACTGGACGATTCTCGGTAAGAAAAAGTCGACACATTCATAGATCCTTTCGTGACCATAACTTGGATAACGAAACTTGACGATTATTTTATATATGTACTTTAACGATTAACGAGTAATTACGAGTTATTTCTCTTGGTAAAACAATTATGAAATAAGATGCAAGGAAAGAAAAGTAAAAAAGAAAAGAAGAGAAATGTGAAAAAGAGATTTATTATCGATATAAGTAATTTTATAGAAATTCGATAGAAATTGAGATCGAGATCGAAGAAAGGAAAAGAAATGAGAGAGATGATAAATAAATAAATAAAAGAAAAAAGAGAGAGAGAGAGAGAGAGAGAGAGAGATAAAAAAAAAAGAGAGAAAGGAAGAAAGGAGAGTGTTCGAAAAATTTCTAAAGTGAATTAGTCGACGCCTAAGACGCGCGCGCGCGCGCACATGCACAGACACATATATATACACACACGTACACCAACAGACACGCACATATAAACGAATATATACACCGAATGTCCGTCGTGCTAGCCGGTGTTCGCGCCTTTAAAGTCGAACCAGTATTCGAAGGAGACAACGTCGATCTTATTGCGCAAAGCCTCGCGACTTTCACTACCCGCATACACACGCATACGAAGGAAAAAAGAGTATGCGAAAGAGACAGAGAGAGAGAGAGAGAGAGAGAGAGAGAGAGAGAGAGAGAGAGAGAGAGAGAGAGAGAGAGGTACATATACAATCTAGGTTCAGATCAGCCTCTCCAATCTGACAACGTATAAATGCGTGTGCCCTTGCGCTCGCGCGTTGAAGTACTTTACTAGGAGTGTCCATGTAAAGATATGTGTGTGTGTGTGTGTGTGTGCGCGTGTGTGTGTTTGTGTGTTTGTGTGCGCGAGGAACGTGGGTGACTATTGACGTTGTCACGACGTCTCGTCGCGCACCACTGGCCACACGAAAATCGAGAGAGAGAGAGAGAGAAATAGAGAGAGAGAGAGAGAGAAATAGAGAGAGAGAGAGAGAGAGAGAGAGAGAGAGATAGATTAAAGCAATAGAAGTAAAAACGAAAATGTCAGGGGCGTCGATATCCGCGTTGCACCGTTTTTACGCTTTGAAATTCATTTTAAAGAAACCCAACGCGTATGCGGCCTGCGTAAAAATGAAAGATAACGATGTTGTGAAAAGGTGGGCGGGTGGGGGGTGGGGTTCAGAGAAAGAATGAGAAAGTCGTTCGAAACGTAATAACGTTTTTCTCTTTTTGATTATCTGTCTTTCTCCATCTCTCTCTCTCTCTCCCTCTCTCTCTCTCTTTCATTATCTTTCTTGCGCCTATAAAAACTACAAGAGGTGCTTAGGGATGTCGGAGAGAGTTTCTTGGTTGAGTGTTTGCTTAAAAATAAAACGTTTAATTGCAAACGTAAGAACGTTTTAAAATTTGTTTAAATGTATTATCATCGTTCGGATATAGTTAAAATGGCAAATGAACCGTCAAACTTTCCCTGTTGGCTTACAGCGTTACTTACGTAAAATAATGAAATATTGACTTCGAGCTTATATATATATATATATATATATATATATATATATATATATATACATATATATATATATACATATACATATATACATTTGTATGTATGCAGATATGTATGTATGTATATATCGAGTAACAAGCAAGAGGATAATAATGAGTTGCGTAAGCATAGAAATGAGGGCGTTTGGTCGCATTTCAATAAAAAAAACAAAAAGAAAAAAAAAGAGAGAGAGAAAAAAAAGAAGATGTAAAGAAAAGCAATAAAATATAATTAGCAAACTTAACGGGAAAATAGAATAAAATTATTTTCTTATCGAGACTTATTATATTAATGATTCGATTCGAAAGTGATTATGATGTTTTTTTACTTTCACCGAAAAAGAAACAAAACTATATGAAACAAATAAGAGGACGAACGAAAGAAGAAATCTTTTGAATAATTCATAATTGAAATGATCATCAGTTAGCATCTTTTGGTCAAACGTATAAATAGCAAAGAAAAAGAGATCTCTACTTTTTCTTTTCATTGTCGTCGTCAACGCCTTCGTCTTTACTAGAGAGTAAGAGAATGCTATTCATTATGAGAATTCATACGGTAGGAACGTAAGAAAGCTTTGACGATAATTTCTGGTTAGGATATGTACGTACGATGTTCTACTAACGTACCAGTACCATATCATTAAGTATTTTTCTTGCGTAGTACAACCAGAATTTTGCTTCGCAACAACGTCCTCACCGTGTAATGACGGTCTTCGTGAGGTAAGAAGAAAAAAAAAAAAAGAAAAAAAGAAAAAAAAAAAGAAAAGAAAATAAAAGAGAGAAAAAGTAAGGAAAGGAAAAAAGGAAAAAAGAAGGTAAAGGAAGGATGAACTTACGAAATGGATCCTAACAAGTTTTACCCCTCCCCCCCCCCCACCCCCACCCCCCATCCTTGGGAAACTCCCAAAGGACAAAATTTTCTCTATCGTTGTTAAAATTCTTTCTTTTTTCTTTTTTCTATCTTCTCTCAAAAGAAAACAATAGAAAATAGGAAAAAAAAATATATATATATACATAAATACATATACACAAACATACACATTGTTGTTATCAGAAAGTATTCACTATGATAATAACGAATGCCATTTATGTTTATGATCCGTGATAGGATAAAAATTTGATCAACGTTCGATCGTTTATCGATCGAAAGAGAGAACGAAAAATAAAAAGGATAGAATAGAAAATTCTTCGAAACGATTTGCCTGTACAAATGAGAAAGAGATAAAAGATAAGAAATAGAGAGGGTAAGAGAGAGAGAGAGAGAGAGAGAGAGAGAGAGAAAGAGAGAGAAAGAGAGAGAGAGAGGGAGAGTAAATATAGAAAAGATAGAAAAGAAAATTCTCGAGTATAACATTGTTTTTGGAACAATAAAAGATAAAGCTGTTGTTATTTTTCAAATGGGATCTTTTATAACACGTTAGCGACGTACGACTGTCCTGTAACTACAAGAATGACGAGTAAAAGTATAGAACAAAATAAAACAAAACAAAGCAAAACAAAAAAAAAAAAAAAAGAAGAAGAAAAAGAAAAAGTAATCGCCAATGTTCTATGCACAATTTTTTCAAGATATCTCCGGACGAAGGACGGCATTGCGTCTAACGATTCCACTTTTACGGTTCGAAGAAGCGTGAAATCGTTGTCGTTGTTTATCAACATTACACGCTTATCTCGAGCGTTTTAACCGGTCATTCGTTGTCCAAAAGAGAAAAGATAAAATGACAAAAGGAAACGAAATGTTAAAAATATAAAATATAAAAGAAAAAAAAAAAAAAAAAAAAAAAAAACGACAAAGATAATGATTACCATCGTATAAATTTTCTCGATCATTTTAATGTCCGTCCTTTTATTTTTCTTGACACACGTCTATCCTTTCTTTATAAACGCATTTAAACGTAATTAAAAAAAGAGAGAAAAGAAAAAGAATGAAAGATATCGTTTTTCAGGCGCGTGCTTTTACTCGTCGAGTCCAGTTCACGAGTTTTGCGAAGCTGGCCGACCGTGCCCCGTACCAATGACGTCATTCCCATCGTATCCAAGATGGCGATCGAGCGTTCGCCAGGCAAAATCTACGAGCTGGCGGGCGTGCGCTCTCGCGCGCGATCACGAGTCGGACCGGTTTTTCGTGGGGAATCAGAGACGAAGAAGAAGAGGAAGAAGAGGAGGAGAAGAAGGAGGAGTAGGACGAGAACAAGGAGGAAGAGAGGAAAGATTGTATACTGGTAGCCGTTCGTGGACAATTTCGTCGTTCCAAAAAGCTACCACCTCTTTTACCTCCTCCTTCTTCTCCTCCACCTTTTCTTTCCTTTCCTTTTCTTGTCTTTTTTTTTTCCCCTGTCTCTCTTTCATCCGCTTTGCATGAGCTCATTCGACTTAGGCATGACGATGTTACGGCTTCGTTCGTGAACTCAACGAAATAGTAAGTAGGGACTAAGAGATATCGAAAAGGTGCCGGAAAACAGTGGCGTAGGACGTTTCCTTCCTCTTTTGGATATCTCTTTGTCCTCTTCTTCGAGAACTACCTACATTGTAAAGTATATATATATATATATATATATATTTATAGAGAAAGATACTTTAAGTATATACTAGGTACCGTAGATATCTAGGATACGTATACGTTGGAAAAATTATTTCTATCCTTTTTTTTTAATACGATAGAATACGAATGAACGATAGACCGTCGTTAAACTATGGGAAAGGAACTAGATAACGGATCGTCTTATAAATCAACCAGTGATCTAGGAGTGATCACTTTCCTCGCGTGTCACGCGAGGATCCAACCAAGAGGACTTTCTTCTCTTCTGAGAAACGAAGTGATCATTTAAGATGATCTCAACTCTCGTAACTCGTCAACTTGGTTTAACACATTAAACATTATCTTTCCAATATCTTATGTCTCATATCTTTTAAGATTTATGTCATGAATGACGAAAAAGGATATTACATAATCGCCTTATGATCGAAATGGTATAATAATATTGATGATAAATCTTTCTAGTAAGTACGATACCAACTTAAAGAGAGTGAAACATACAGCCCTGACCATGCTCAAGTTTCCTCTTACCAAAGATACTTCGAAACGATAAAACCTCCAAGTTCCAGAGATACCTGAAGGAACAGAAAGAAAGAGAGAGAGAGACAGAGAATGAGAGAGAGAGAAAAAGAGAGTGTGTGAGTGAAAGAGGTAGACCAAAGAAGCTTTCGCAAGGCTCACTCGAACGGTACGCGGACACTCTACGAGAATCTGCGAGCGCGAAGGTCAACGAGTTCTCTCTTTCTCTCTCTCTCTCTCTCTCTCTCTCTTTCTTTCTCTTTCTCTCTCTTTCTCTCTCTCTCTCTCTCTCTCTCTCTCTCTCTCTCTGTGTATAGCTCGGAGAACGCAGACAGAAACGCGTTAAAGCGAGCAAACGAGCACGCACGCGATGATCTTTGCCTCACGCGCGCGCGCGCGTGTGTGTGTGTGTGTGTGTGTGTGTGTACATACATATACATACATACTGTGAGAATCTTCCGAATTATAAGATTTATTTACTCGATAAACTTACATTAAAAGTATTCTTCAATAGAATTAAATCAACGTTTAACTATCGTATTATTATTAATTATCTATATTCTTTCTTTCTCTTTTTCTTTTCTTTACTATTCTTGTTTTTTTTTCTCTTTCTTTACAATTATTCTTCATGCGTAAAAAGGAAGAGATAACCTTTGACACGTTCTCACGTACCTCTTATCCATGAATCTTGCGTATTCTTCGATCAAAAACACTACCCAACAACCTTTCGAATTTTGACAGTAAAAGGATTTCCAATGATCTGATGACACACGCACATACGATATATATATATATATATATATATATATATATATATATATATACTACACACAACGAAAAGGTTAAGAGAGAGGAAAAAAAAAGACCGAGCCTTTCCCGACGTATTTTCGTATTGTTATTCTGCCACGCGCGCGCGCGCGCAGTTGAATTATCGTCGTACGCGATCGCGCGAGCGCAACTGAGCGGCCGATTCTATCCGAGAGAGCGTTTCACCTGCGACTCGCAGGAGCTACCCCTTCCATTCGACTCTCCTGCCGTAGCAGGCAAACCTAGTCGAGAGTTACCTTTACTCTCCCCTACCTCTATCTTTTTGTCCCACCTCTTCGTCTCCCACTTCTCAACCACGTTTCTTCATCTTCTTTATCTTCTTCTTCTTCTTCTTCTTCTTCTTCTTCTTCTTCTCCTTCTTCTTCTTTTTCTGGTTCTTCTTCTACTTTTTCTGTTCCTTTTTCTTCTTCTTCTTCATATACTTCTCCTTCATTTTTTCTTCTTTTTCTTTTTACTTAATTTCTTTTTAGATGATATTTTCTTTTTTTTTTTTTAAGTAAGACGTACCTTTGACTACGTCAATCTAGACAATCTGAAAAATGCGATATTTACTTTACTTTTCATTCATTGGAAGAACTTGTTATTCAGAGCGAGTTCATTTAAAAAAAGTACAACTACGCATGGATATTTAGATCATGCAAGCACAGAGAAATCGCGGAAAGACTTTCTTTTCTTTTTTCTTCTTCTTCTTCTCCTTCATTTTCTTCTTCATTTCCTCCTTCATTTTCTTCTTCTCCTTCTTCTTCTTTTTCTGGTTCTTCTTCTACTTTTTCTGTTCCTTTTTCTTCTTCTTCTTCATATACTTCTCCTTCATTTTTTCTTCTTTTTCTTTTTACTTAATTTCTTTTTAGATGATATTTTCTTTTTTTTTTTTTAAGTAAGACGTACCTTTGACTACGTCAATCTAGACAATCTGAAAAATGCGATATTTACTTTACTTTTCATTCATTGGAAGAACTTGTTATTCAGAGCGAGTTCATTTAAAAAAAGTACAACTACGCATGGATATTTAGATCATGCAAGCACAGAGAAATCGCGGAAAGACTTTCTTTTCTTTTTTCTTCTTCTTCTTCTCCTTCATTTTCTTCTTCATTTCCTCCTTCATTTTCTTCTTCTCCTTCTCCTTCATTTTCTTTTTCTTCTTCTCCTTCATTTTCTTCTTCTTCTTCTTCGACTTCATTTTCTTCTTCATTTTCTCCTTCATTTTTTCTTCATTTTCTTCTTCTTTATCTTCTTCTTCTTTTTCTTCTTTTTCTGTTCCTTTTTCTTCTTCTTCTCCTTCTTCTTCATTTTTTCTTCTTGTTCTTTTTACTTAGCTTCTTTTTAGATGATATTTTCTTTTTTTTTTTTGAAGTAAGACTTATCTTTGACTACGTCAATCTAGGCAATCTAAAAAACGCGAGATTTACTTTACTATTCATTCATTGGAAGAACCTGTTATTCAGAGCGAGTTCATTTAAAAAAGTACAACTATGCATAGATATATAGATCATGCAAGCACAGAGAGACATGGAAAGACTTTTTTCTTCTTCTTCTTCCTCTTCATTTTCTTCTTCTTCATCTTCTTCTTCTTATATATAGATCATGCAAGCACAGAGAAACGTAAAGAGACTTTTCTTCTTCATTTTCTTCTTCTTCATCTTCTTCTTCTTATATATAGATCATGCAAGCACAGAGAAACGTAAAGAGACTTTTCTTCTTCATTTTCTTCTTCTTCATCTTCTTCTTCTTATATATAGATCATGCAAGCACAGAGAAACGTAAAGAGACTTTTCTTCTTCATTTTCTTCTTCTTCATTTTCTTCTTCTTATATATAGATCATGCAAGCACAGAGAAACGTAAAGAGACTTTTCTTCTTTTTTCTTCTTCTTCTTCTACTTCTTCTTCTTCATTTTTTCTTCTTCTTCTTCTTTTTACTTAGCTTCTTCTTAGATAATTTATTTTCTTGAAGTAAGACGTATCAATGACTATGTCAATTTCGCCAACTTAGAAAACACGAGGCTTCCTTTACTCTTCATTCATTGGCAGAACTTGTTATTCAGAGCGAGTTCATTAAAAAAAAATACATGAATATATAGATCATACAAGCACAGAGAGACGCAGAGAGATTTTCTTTTCTTTTTTCTTCTTTCTTTCTTTCTTTCTTTCTTTCTTTTTTGTCTTTTTTTCAAAAGAGATCTTGCGTGTACAAGACACGAGCCAGGGATCACCGAGTATCATGGATCACGTTTCATGAACACGCGTCGTATACGAAGAAGAAAAAGAAAAAGAAAAAGAAAAAGAAGAAGAGGAAGAAGAATAAGAAGAGGAAGAAGAAAAAGAAGAAAAAGAAAAAGATAAAAAAATAAAAAAGAAGAAGAGGAAGAAGAATAAGAAGAGGAAGAAGAAAAAGAAGAAAAAGAAAAAGATACAAAAATAAAAAAGAAGAAGAAAAGGTAGAGGAGAAGAAGAAGAAGAAGAAGAAGAAAAAGAAGAGAAAGATAAAAAAGAAAAGATAGAGGAGGAAAAGAAGAAAAAGGAAAAGGAAGAAGAAGAAGAAGAAAAAGATAAAAAAAGAAAGAAGGAGAAGAAAAGATGAAGCAGGAGAAGAAAAATAAGAAGAAAAAGAAGAAAAGATGGAGGAGGAGGAGAAAAATAAGAAGAAAAAGAAGAAAAGATGGAAAAGAAAATGTAGAAAAAGAAAAGATAGAGAAGAAGAAAAAGAAGAAGAAGAAGAAGTAGAAGAGAAAAGATGGAGATGAAGAATAAGAAGAAGAAGAGAAAGAAGAAGAAGTAGAAGAGAAAAGAAGAAGAAGAAGAAGAAGAAGAAGTAGAAGAGAAAAGAAGGAGATGAAGAAGAAGAAGAAGAAGAAGGAGGAGGAGGAGGAGGTGGAGGGGGAGAAGGAGGAAAATAAGAGGATAATTGTGATGGTTCGAGGAAGAAGAATATATAGAAGAAGGAAGAACACGAATATGACTCGTCCTTTTCGTCGGCATAAGAAGAGGACTACACGTCGAAACGCATAAGCCGTTTATTGGCCAGACGAGCAAAAGAGAGAGAGAATGAGAAAGAAAAAGAGAAAGAGAGAGAGAGAGAGAGAGAGAGAGAAGAGAGATGAGAGTCGTATCGTTCGGCTCGAGCTCTTTCGAGTGGTCTTTCCAGTTTGCAAAGATGACCAAAAAGGCGATATACATATATCCTCTGTATCCCCTTGACTCTCTCTCTCTCTCTCTCTCTCTCTCTCTGTCTCTCTTTCTCTCTCTGTCTATCTCTCTCTCTCTCTTTCTCTTTCTCTTGTTCGTTCGCTCGCATTCTCTCTTTCTCCCACTCGCCTTTCTTTCCTCCTGATGTCCGGCTTTGACCGACCGTAAATGGCGAGCAGAAGGCCTTGGGCGCCCACGCCTGCTCCTTCTCTTCTTATTCTTCTCCTTCTTCTTCTTCTTCTTCTTCTTCTCCTTTCACTCTCCTCTTTCTCTCTCTCTCTCTCTCTCTCTCTCTTTCTCTTTCTCTTCTTTTTTCTCCTTTTGTCTCTGTTGAAATCCTTCTACCATCTCTGATCCCTTCTCGACATCGATCAGACCAGTTGTTTATCAATCCGAGATCTCTCTTATTAAAGATGGACATCTCGTCCTGCCTCCGAAAAAGATCAACGTATCGATTTCTTATCGAAAAATCAATCGCATATACGTTTGACTTATACGTTTGAAATTTTTGATTTGATTTACAATTTTTAAGTAATAAAATTTTTAATATTTTTAAGTAATAAAAATTAAAAAAAGAAAATAGAAATCATAATCCTTAAGAAAGAAAGAAAAAAAAATTGATTTCTTATAGGAAATACAACGAAAAGATCGCATCGATTTTGATCGACGAACGATCGAGATATCAAAGTATAACGAAAATTCGATCTCATTTTTGAAAGGTCGAACTTTTTTAAGCTAATGAAAGAAAGAATGAACTGTACTGATCATTTTATATAATAAAAATCATTATCTTTAATGAAAATTCATCGAATGATTATGATAGATCGATTCCTTCTCGAAATGTTATTCGAATCAATTAGAAAATTGATGTAGAAAGTGATCGATATCTTAATAAATCTAGATGATCTTTACATTTAATCTTTACATTTAATCTTTACATTTAATCTTTACATTTAATCTTTACATTTAATGAAAATTATAATTAATTATAATTAATTATATAAATTATAATTAATAATCTTCAATCGAAAATTCAGCGAAAGAGTTACATCGATTTTATCGTGGAAGGAACGAAATATCAAAAGTTCACGTTCCGATTACATCTTGAAAAATTATTCGAACAAGTTTTATAAATTGATATAGGAAATTGGATCGATTAAATCGATAGAATTATATAATGTAATAAACGTTATCAAGGAAAGGGATAAATAAAAAAAATTTACTTTTTTATTGAAAATTTTCAAATAAAAATATCACGTTGATTTTTATCGACGAAAGATATCGAAGTATTAAACTTATGACAACGTCTCGATTTCATTTTGAAAAATCAATGAAAAAAAAAAGTCAAATTTGCAAGTTGACCACAAGGAAGTTATAATTATCGAGATATTACCAGACCTAGATTTAATCCTGTCAGGTTACTTTATTACCTTTCTTTTTTTTTTTTTTTCTATAATCAATATGATAACATTTTTTTCAAAAAGATATATTATTAATTACGATGAATATCAAATGTATTAGGTAGACCGGAAAGTAATGTCATTTCTGCGCATGTCAATATTTGATTGTGATTAAAAATAAAAACTTATTAAAAATTTATTCGTTTGAATTTAATTTAAGAAAGTGACATTACTTTCCGGTCCACTTAATACATATGAATTCAATGTATCCTATTGGGTTGTTCGAAAAGTAATTTCATTTTTTTTTCCGACAGAAGATTTAATTGTATTTTTTTGCACTTAACTTCACACTTAAGCCGTATAATCATTATATGTTTTGAGAACTGATATAGGAAAGTTTGTGTGTGAAAAAGTCCAATTGTAATTCTACGCAGTAGTTTTTCTTTGGTGCCCTTTTAAATATAGAGAGCAATAAGCACCATTTTCGTCATATTTTATTTTTTTACTTAAAAAAATGCTGTTCAAGAAAGAAATTAACCGACGTGTATGGAGAAGATGCGTTGACAGTATCAGAACTGGTTTGCAAAATTTCCATCCGATAATTTTGATGTCGAAGATGCACCACGTTCTGGAAGCCCGGTTGAAGCTGATAAAGACACGATAAAGGCATTAGTTAATGCAAACCGGCGAATAACAACACGTGAGATCAGTGAGAGGTTGAATTTATCAAATTCAACTGTTTATGACCACTTGAAAGGCCTGGGTTTAATCTCGAAGATCGATATATGGGTTCCCCATGTTCTCACAGAGAGAAATTTGTGTCGTCGCGTTGACGTCTGTGATTCGCTTCTCAAACGTCACGAAAATGATCTATTTTTGAAACGCATCATTATTGGGGACGAAAAATGAATTATATATAACAAAATCATGGAGCAAAAAAAATGAACCGGCTCAAAGCATTTCCAAAGCCAATATCCATCAAAAAAAAGTGATGCTGTCTGTTTGCTGGGATTTTAAAGGAATCGTTTTCTTTTTTTTGAGATTTTATCGGATAATACAATAATTAATTCGGAAGTCTACAGTTATCAGCTAGACAAACTGAATGATGCACTTCAACAGAAATGGCCAGAATTAATCAACAGAAAGGATGTAGTGTTCCACCAAGATAATACGAGACCTCATACAAGTTTGGTCTCTCGCCAAAAGCTTTTACAGCTTAAATGGGATACAATGCCACATCCACCATATTCTCCAGATCTGGCACATTCGGATTATTATTTGTTCCGGTTATAGCAAAATTTTTTAGACGGTAAAACCTTCACTTCAAATGAGGAGGTCAAAAACCATCTCGATCAGTTTATTGCCAGCAAAGACCAAAAATTTTATGAGCGTGGAATCATGCTACTACCAGAAAGATGACAAAAGATATTAGACCAAAATGGCCAATATATAATTTAATAAAATATTTATTCATTATACGAAAATTGTCTTTCATTTTCACAAAAAAAAAAAAAAAAAAAGAAAGAAAGAAAAAAAAAACAAAATGACTTTTCGAACGACCCGTAGAAGGAACGATCAAGGAAATACTTTAAATCTCCGTCAATAAAAAAAATCTGAAATTTTTATATCGTCATGGTTGAACGTTGACGTTCATAGCTTTTGACCTTTGATCCGTGAACGAATGAAATTCAAGTGGATGAATAGACAAGGTACAAAAAGAAAAAAAAAACGCGCGAATATCAGCGCGTTGCGTTCACGCGAACGTTACGCCACTATAGAGATAATATATCCGCGTCAGCTTGGCTACCATATGTATGTAAAGACTTGTAAGATGGTAAGTGCAAAAACATGCAAACACGCGTGCAACCAGCAAACGTGATAAAAGTACCGCACCATAGTCGTGCATATGTGAGTGCCTGATGCTTCTTCTTTTTTTTCATCATCTTCTTCTTCTTCTTATTCTTCTTCTTTAAGATATAAGGTGCGTAAGAAAGAGAAGAAAAGAAACACATGGTTAGACCAAAGTCATGTACTTCAACTCCCTTTTGAAAGAATACGAGAGTAAATGAAAAACGGGTCTCGCTTTCAAATCTTTGCGAATACATTTCATGTCTGAATTTTCAAATCTGAATCTCGCCTTAAGATTTCGTGATTAAAAAAAAAAAAAAAAAAAAAAAAAAAACAAAAAAGAAAAGAAAAAATTAATTAGAAAAAGATGAACTCGTAAAGACGTTCAAGTAGTTTTTTTTGAATAATTACATATTAAAGAAATTTTTTATCTTGAAAATTTAAAGACCTCGATGAGATCGAAGGGGGGAATTAAAAATACATCTGAAAATATTTTTAATTTATCTGAAAATTTCACTTAAAGAACAAGCGAAATGTAGTTACACTTTAACGTAAAACGTTTACGTTAATAAATTCTTTAATGTAAAAAACATGTACATTAATAAATTCTTTAATGTAAAAAACGTTTACGTTAATAAACTCATAAAGAATATATATTAATAAATTCTTTACAATTTTAAAATAAAAAAATTAATATAACTACGTTTCTAAGTAAAACTCTTTTTTTTTTTTTAAGAAAATTTCTTCTATTATTAAAATTCTATCATTAATTATATTACGTATAGATATATATTAAAAAAAGATCTTAATCATTTGTCAACGAATTTAACGTATATATTACAAGGAATAACTTTTGAAAGCTAAAATCGAATTTTTGTCATTAAAGTTGTACGTAATACGTACAAATAGAAAAGAGAGAAAGAGAAAGAGAAAGAGAGAGAGAGAGAGAGAGAGAGAGAGAGAGAGAGAGACAGAGAGAATGTAATAGAATAACGATACATTTTGTTAAGTATCGAAGTTTGATCATTTTTTCGAATAGAACTCGAGTAACAATTTTCATTTTAATTTAATCAACCCAGTTAATCTTTCGGCTAATCCTTCTTTTTTTTTTTTTAAACTTCCCTTACAATAATTTATCTTCTTCGTTCTCGCTCGATTATTCTTATCATCTTGAAAAAATACGGAATAAGATGGTATTGCCTCGATACTGAAAAAAAAAAGAACAAAAAAAAAATCAAAAAGAAAAAAGAAATCGATCGAAAAATTCCAACAAACTTTTCTCTCTCTCTCTCCCTCTCTCTTTCTCTCTCTCTCTCTCTCTCTCTTTCTCTCCCTCTCTTTTTCTCTCCCTCTCTTTCTCTCTCTCTCTCTTTCTCTCCCTCTCTTTCTCTCCCTCTCTCTCTTTCCTTCTCACTCTCTCTCTCTCTTTCTCTGAGTGACTGGCCATGACAGAAAATAGCATCAAAGGTATGTACTTTCGATGTGATCAAAGTTGATAATGTTCTCTTTAAATATAACCCGCGCTTAATATAATAATACCACAAGTTAAACTGCGGAAAGAATTTATCCGATAATGAATTAACATGCATCAACGAGAGACGAGACAATTTCGTACGGATCAATTAAATTCGTTTGACGAAAAGAAAATAAAAAAAAAAAAAAAAAAAAAAGTTTTACTTCAAAAATTACCAATAATATTATTTCGGCTTGACGGACATCGTATAATCGTTGACCTAAGAAAATTTTCGAACGAGAAAATCGAGTATCCATCGACCGTAACTTTGATCCGTGATTTTTATCTTTCAAAAAAAAAAAAGAAAAAAAAAAGAAAAAGAAAAAAGAAAAAAACTTTCGGCCTGTTAACTCTTTGGGATTAAAAACTGTTCCAACTATTGCTTAGCTCTTTATACACGATGATATATATATATATATATATATATATATATATATTTTAATCCATCTCCAAAAAGTTGCGATTACTCATAGTAATTAATATTTCATAATAAATAATTGAAATGAATGCTATTTTTTCCATATTTTTTTTTTTATATTAAAAAAAATTCTATGCAACTCGGATTTTTGTTTTCTTTAAAATCGTGTGTCTCGAAGAGTTAAGAGAAATAAAAAAAAAAAAAAAAAAAGAAAAAACACGAAAAGAAAAGAAAGAAAGAAAGAAAACAAACAAACGATCGCATGAAAATTTCTCTCCTGAATGTACGTATGTATATTCAAGGAAAGATCCAAAGACGCGTTCACTTTCGTCCGAGTTGCAAGAAAGTGTATTTGCCACCTATGTTCAAAGCGAGTTTCTACCAACCTGATGCACCAGCTGAGATGACCGATGGTATCTGAAAAAAGATATATATATATATATATATATATACAGATAGGATATACGAAGAGGTAAGGTTCAAGACTCGACGTTTAAAGTTCGTTCGATGATGCTCGTAAAGGTTTCGCCTTCTCTTCCTTTCTCTCTTCTTCTACTCTTCGACGGAGGTAATACGGACCGGTCCTCCCTCTTGCGGTCCATCTCTTCGACATCACTTCCGAATATGGTAAGGAACATCGGTGCCACCCGGTGCAACCAACCAACCAACTCTTCGAATATCCAAACTCGCTACTTATTCGACGCTTGCGTATCGCAAAATCATTATCTAACCATAACTGGTTATCGCGAGTTTCAACGTGAGAATGATAATTCTGTAGAGATTTAACGGGTTTTATACGTTTTTTTCTTTCTTTTTTTTTTTCTTTTTTTCTTTTTTTTTTAAACATAACTGTGAAAGAAATGAATGATTATGAACGTGATTATATGTATATACGTATGTATATATGTATATATGAATGTTATGTAAGTATATATATATATATATATATATTATGTATATCTATAAATCTATGCATGCATTTATGCAGTATGTTGTAGAATTATAAACACACAAATCTGATCGTAACTCATTGAAAGAGAACATTTAATTAATATATTTCTATTTATTATTAGGAACATATAATCACTATCACTTTTAGAGAATGAAATGATTTATTTTAGATTAATACAACTTTTTTTTTCTTCTTCAA